TACTAACCCCTAACAAACCTTAACTTTTCGTTTAAAATTCCACCATAAAACTACAAATTTAATTAAAGTGAGAATTTTCTGCAAGTGTTGGACACTTTTAGGATGAGGTCCTGGACGCGCTTTTGTTCGTGACAAGTTGAGACAGAGAGCAAACATGGCAGGCGACGCGTTGGACAAACTCCCAAACAACTCCATTCCGCGTGATGTTTTTCCTGTTTTTCCTGTTTTTTTCTTTTGGGGAACATGTTGTTGGTGAACTTCTCGCGGCACTTTTCACGCTTGGCACTGGCACCATCAAGGGACCCCAAAATTGGCCAACTCCTACGCAACTATGGTGTACTCCTCCAGCCCCCAGCTGAGTCGGGGGAAAACAAACCCAATTGTAATTAGACTTGAGAGCTTTCCCCTTGGGGGCTTGGAGTGGGTGGAAAAAATACAGGGTAGCAGCAGGGGGAGGTGAACTTCCTAAAATTACATTTAATCATTGTTATTTTAGGCCCCAACCAAACGGCTAAGTGCCTTCACTGACCACGCCCCCTTGGCACGTAGATGACACCAAAGCCAAGCGAACAAATAAATGTGTATACATATATGTAGTGGCATAAGGAGACTAAGGACATTTGATAAAAAGCCACTTAGTGTGGCATTTTTGGCCTTAACTAAAGCCCGGGGAAATCGGCCCCCGCCACTCACACTCGCATCCATAACCCATTTGGCTTAGTGAGAAAGCCAAGGCAGATTGTCTGCGGCATGCCACACAGCCACTGGTTAACACTTTGGGCGTGCTACATTTTGACAATATCAAAGTTGAGTGGCGCCAGCCCTGACAGGCTGTTTTGGGGGGTCCTGTGAATGTCCTCCTCCAGGCAGGATCCTGCCAGAAGCCTGGCAAATAAATAACGTTTAAAGCGTAAATATGGTAAACGACGTTAACGGGGCGCCTCAAGTGTCAGTTGTCGGCTGTCAAAGCCACAAGAGGCATCAAGAGTCCCCTCCCCTCCACTCCTCTCCGCTCCTCTCGAAAAGTTGGCTCAAATAATTATTATCAAGGCAATGACCGTAAATATTCAGCTTAAGCCAAACTATTTCTGCTGACAATGAGATTGCGCATACGCCGCTTGGGCCAGGCCAAAAAAGATTTTCACTCCCAATTACGCTGCAGAAAATGTGCTTTTTGGCTCAATATTAAAGCGACACTTGTTGAAGGGGCGGAGCATTTCACAAGGAAATCCCTGATATTTTTCCCACCCCCCAGAAAGAGCTGTCAAGTTCAATTCAAGTACGTTCTCCAGCAGCTGCCAAAGACATTTTTCAATAAATGCAATGGGATAGCATTAAGGCACTGGGGGAAAATAAGTAGATTTAAATTTGGGATATTTCAACTTAGTAATTAAGTTTGTAATTAAACAAAGAATAATCGGTGAGTTATCCTACATTTTTTCCGTCTTAAGCTTTCCAATTTTCTCTACCTGCTTAGCCACTTCTTAAGCACAAAATACAAAAAAGAAATAGAAAAGCGTATCCGAGTCAGGCAAGTGCAAGATTCAAAGAGCTATAAAATTATTTTGTTGGCATGCAAATTGCATTTGGTCGTGTTGGCAGTTCGCCGGGATTTTCTTTGGCCTGTCAACAGCGAAATGCAGATAAGTCCAAAACGAATGGATTTCCACTGGCAGTGCCAGTTTTTCTTTTCCCTTCTTCTTCTATTTTTTGGCATACAATAAAAATTACTTTTCATATTTAATTGCAGCAGCAGCAGGAGGTCTACAACGAGTACATGTGGCCAAATACCAAAGCCAAAGTGCAAGCCAAATGTCACATTAAATTACATCAAAGTCTAAGGGAAAGCAAAAGGCAAAAGGCAAAGGAATAATGCCGCCAAACTTGCAATTGAAATTTGTTTGCCAACTCAAACACGAACATGGGGACTTGGAGGTTTTCCAGGGGTGGCACCCCCCAAAAAGTTAGGCGAAAATTAGACGTGGAAAGCGAGTAATGGAGACACCCAAAAGGAAATGCTTATTATTTGCATAAATTCCACGCACACACAAAGCGCCAGTCGAGTGACAGGACAGGACGAGCGGAGGGGCCGAATGTTGAGAGAAAGAAATGCAAATTGTGTTGGCAAATTTAAATGTCAGTCAACAATTCAGTTGTTAAACTCGCATTACACACAAAGCCATAGACATTGCTGCTGGCCTTGCATATAAAGAGCGGTTACGCATCGCCCTGTGGTACGGTCCAAAGGAGATAGAGATGTTGTTGCATAGAGAGGATAACAGCGATATATATCGATAAAAGTATCGAAATTTAAAGAAAATTAATTCCCAGTATGCAACAACGATATATATCGATATAAGTATCGAATTTAAAAGAAAATTAAATGCCAGTTTACATTTGTTTTAAACATATTATTTGAATAGATATGTATAGTATTGAAATGATAAACATAAATAAGTACTAATAATTCATATAAACAAATAACAATATATATACATTTATAAGTCTTAGTAAATATCGATAACTATTTGATATCACTAAAAAAAATCGCTTTTTTGTAACCATCTTCTAGTCCAAAGAAAACCTTCGACTTTAGTTCCTTTAAAATCGAAAAGCGTGCGTGACTTTTAGGGATAATGTGCAGGGGGGATGGAGAGCGGTGTCGGCTTATCATTTTTCGGCAAAAGAAAACTTTTGACAACTTTTCACTTTTGTTAGGTATTGGCACTGTTTGTTAAGCATGCCACAGCAGCTTTCGGTTTTGCCATTCGATGTCAATTTAAAGTTTGTTCCTCCACTCCTAGCCTTTCAACTTTCTTTCTTTCTTTCCTTATTTTTTCTCTTCCCTTTTTTTGTTGGTGAAATAAAAGTTTTGTGTGTGGCAAAAAAGTTGGAGCAATTGTGAGAGAGAGTTCCAATGGCTGGTGCTGCTGCTGGTCCTGCTCCTGCTGCTGCACTGCATCCGGCATAATCGATTTGCTTTTGCCTTTTTCATTTTAATAACTTTTCGAGGCAACAGCAGCAGCAGCAGCAACGGGAAAATAACAAGCACTGCAACAATTACGTGCGGCAAGTGCAAGAGCAGCAAACAAGCGGCAAACAATCGCCAACAATGGCAACAAAGGCGGCCACTAAAGCTGCATCAGGATCGGGAGCTGTGAGCTGCGCCAAACTGTGAACTGGGTTAAACACTTGGCCGGAGTTTCCACCTGGCTTCCACCTGGTTGTGCCCCCTCTTCCTTGCCGCTCCCCTTGCTGTTGCTCCCTTGACATTTGGCCGGGGCAACTATGTTGCCATTGCTATTGCTATTTCGCGATGCATTCAAGTGGATGTTAACTTGGTCTCATAATTGAGGCACGCGCCAAGCGAAACAAATAACGAGGGTAGCTGCTGTTGTAGCAGCGAAAGCTGCAGAAGTGATTGCTGTGGTCCCATAAACCCTTTAAAAATAAGTTACGCACTGAGAGAAAAGCGCTACCAAGTTAATATAGATAAATTTTGTAGGTTTATCATTGAAATATATAATATAACTACCAAAGAAACGGTTGTTAAATGTAGGGGATCAGTAGGAATCTTTCAATAGTTAGTAATTATCATCAGTAATTAACTATGATCAGTAAATAACTCGGAGCCCTAAGTATCTATGGCCAGTAAGCAACTATGATCAGTAAGTAACTTTGAACAATAAGTATCAATGAGCACTAAGCATCCATAACCAATAAGTAACTATGACCAGTAAGCATCTATGACCAGTAAGTATGTATGTATAATCAGCTACTAACTTTGAACACTAATAAACAATGACTTGCAACTTTTGTAACACAACACATATCTGATACTGGGCCGGCAGCAGTCACTTCGTTCCGGGGATGCTTGAACCAGTTGGGAATCATATGCACAGAGAGAGATTTGTTTGGAACAAATTTAAATCAAGCTATTTAAATGAATCGATGGAGTTATTCTTCTATATAATTTTATTATTATATAAATCGGAGCATGGCGAATCGGTGGACTATATATACACATATATATAGCTGCCATAAGAACAATCGGACGATTTATAGAACTATGATCAGTAATTAACTATGATCCGTAATTAACTTTGAGCATCAAGTAACAATATACATTAAGTATCTACAACCAGTAAGTAACTCTGATCAGTAAGTATTTATAACTAGTAAGTATCTATGACCAGTAAGTATGAATGTTCAGTTACTAACTTTGAACACTAATAAACAATGACTTGCAACTTTTGTAACACAACACTATACTGATACATGGCCGGCAGCAGTCACTTCGTTCCGGGGATGTTTGAACCAGTTGGGAATCATATGCACAGATGTGCGAGATATGTTTTGGAACAAATTTAAGAGCAATTAATGAAACTATGGAGTTATTCGTGTATATAATTTTACTACTATATAAGTCGGAGCATGGCGAATCGGTGGACTATATATATATATATACATATATACATATAGCTGCCATAGGAACGATCGGAAAATTTTAAGAAATACAGCAATAACTTTTCAGGTTTTGAACAAATTTTTATCAAATTTGATATATAGCCATTATATATTAATTTAGAACTTTGGTTACAATTTTTGAAAATCAGACTACTATATCATATAGCTGGCGTACAAACGATCTTTAAAAATAGAGCAAAATGCATATATTTATTATATATATTGCATTAATTCCTACTGATCGAATTTCAATCTGCAATGGCTTACAAATTTTGGCATGTAGAAGTTAGCTTGCTTTCTTGTTTAACAATATTTTACGCTCCATTTTCATTCGCAATGAAATAAAGCACAATTAAAATAATTTTATTTTTTGCTCTGTGAAGGTCTTTTCTTTTCCAAGCGGAAAAGCAAAAACCCATTTAGACGGCAACACGTATACGTGGACTCGTAAGCCAGCTAACACATGGCCCGAACCACCTCTACGTACGTATACGTAATACGTATACGTAATTTTCTGTAGTTTCTCTACTCACCCAAAGTTAATTTCCGCTTGGGCGTCGCACACCTGCAACGAAAATGGAATGAATGGGAACGTAATTTATAATTAATATTAACGCATTTTCGATTCAATAATAAATGAGGCTAATTTATTTACAGGGCTAGGTGCACATTTCAAGGTAAAAGTTTCATTTCATTTCGTTTTGTTTCTGTCTGTTTTTATCTTTTTGGTTTTTTGCTTTGGCGAGCTGTCGCAGTCAACGCATTTTAATTCAATTGAAGTTGATTAAAAATTAATTTCAAATTAAATGTAAACTCAATGAAATTGTACGTAAAAAGTAGTGGTGAAAAGCAGAGCAGAGGAAAAGCTGGCATTTGACAGGCTGTGACATTTTTAGAGGCGGGAAGGGGGCGAAAATTGATTGGATGGAAAATTGCGAAACTTAAATAGTATTGCGGGATGTATGTGAGTGTGTGTGTGTATAGGCGGAAACGGAATTTGTTACAAAGTCCATTGAAATCAATTTAAAAAGTAAACTTTATTCCATGGAAGAAAGAAACAACGAGTGTTCCTCACCCTCTTCTTGGTTTTTGGCTTTAACAAGAAAAGGAAAACTAATTGCAGCGCTCATTTTTTGCTTGTTAATGGGCCTGCAAACGAGCTTCGAGTTTTCCACCACTTTTCCTTAACCACCTCCCCCTTTATCGATCCCCACACATCCTTAAGCCTCATGTGTGTGCGCTGTGCGTTGTTGGCCTGAGCCATCGAAAAAGTTTTTCCCCCAATTTTATTTGCCTCATTTCGCCGCCATTGTGGCTGTTGTTGGCACTCTTTTGCGAAATCTGCGTGCCCAAGTAACAACATTTTACAGCTGCAATTAAAGTTAGTTACACATCCCCGCGCTGACCTCGCTTTTTCCGCCCCAGCGTTTTCCTTTTTGCACTTTTCGCTTTACAAGCTAATGCACTGCACTTTAATTAACCCAAAACACCAGGAGCAAAGACCACACACACTCATATATAATGGCTATTTATGTGCGATAATTTGTGGTATTAAAACACACACAAAAACAAGTGCGAGGAGTCACATAACACTCGAATAAATTGCACAATTTTAAAGTTCTTGTAAATGTGAGAACATTGAATAAACGGTTTTTAAATTCACAAAAATATCATATTATATATTTACCCCTAAATATTTTTTAAGCTTTCTGCAAGTGAAGACCCTTTGAAAACTCAAATCGTTTATGCTAAAGGGCATTTAGTTGCATTAGAGTCAATTATCGAAATGGTATTGCCAGGGAAAACCCCCTCGAACTCACCACAGAGGGGGAAAGCACCCGACGGCAATCAGAATTATCAAAGGCTTTTAATTGCCATAAATCTGGGAAAGTTGTTAAAAACCCATTTAAAATTGTCACCGTAATGGCACACTCAACTGGCATTCAGTGGCATTTAACCAACTATCTCCCAATGCCTTTTGGGCCATCATTCTTCCTCCTAACTGCCTTTTTTCTTGGCTCTGCTTCCTTTTGGCCAACTTCAGTTGCAGTCTGCCTGCCTGCCTGGTAGGGATGTTAATTAGAAAACTCTTGAAAATTATTAAAAACTTTCCGACAAACAGACAGGCCGAAAGACAGACGGGTAACAGGAAAGATAGTCTTGGAAATGTATAAAAGTTAAAACTCTTGCCAACTAACTGGAAAATGTTTGTGAGAAATTTCATAGATCCTCTTTGATGGCTTTTCGAAATATATATATTTCTTGAGCCATAAATCTAAGAGGCCTGACGCAAAAACTTTATTTACCAAGAAAAAGTTACGGCCGGGCTTTCATAAATTATTTGTTTTTATTTAATTGTATAAAAGAGGGAGAGGAAAGGCTGAGGAAGCTCTCAGATCAACTGAAATCTTTATAATTTGATACAAGCTTTCTAGATTTAATTATTTGTCTTCCTTATTTCACTATTCGTCGCAGTTCGTTTTAAGGTCATTGAAATTTCACAATTTAACTTAATTTACATTCAAAATGAACCTCCACCCTTTTATCAATTTATTCACCATCCGCACGATCTCTCTAATGGATCGCCATACAAAAGTGCCTGTGTTTTTCATTCCAAAATCTGCTTCTGTGCATCCCACTTAGCACCTTTTATTAGTGCCAATTAAGAATAATTCCATGATGCGTTCCGTAAGCTATTTCTGACGAGATTACAGCCTCAGACTGCCCCGAACTAGATAATCAACCGCAGAGAATTTCGCGGCGTGTGTCGCTGACATTGAATCCGAGAAGCTGACAACACTCCAAGTTTTCCAAGTCAGCGACTGCGGTTAGTTAAACGCGAGACCTCCAAGTGCTCGGTGTATATTCTGGGAACGTGAAAATGGGAAAGGCAACGAAGCTAGAGATTTCCAGTCGCGAGTCGGAAAAGCCAGCAGAGCAGTGGGGCAATGGCCTAGAGTTTCTCTTCTCCTGCATCTCGTTATCCGTGGGCCTGGGCAATATCTGGCGGTTTCCGTACATTGCCTTCCAGAATGGCGGCGGCACCTTTGTGATTCCCTACCTGATTGCCCTTCTGGTAATTGGTCGTCCTGTCTACTACCTGGAGATCTCTCTCGGCCAGTTCACCGGACGCGGCGTAGTCAAGGCCTTTGACATGGCTCCCCTACTGAAGGGCGTGGCGGTGGGCCAAGTCCTGGCCACAGCTGCCTCCATTACGTACTATTCGAGCATTATGGCTCTGACTTTGAGGTTCCTTTTGGCCTCCTTCGGCGCCAAGTTGCCTTGGAGTCGCTGCTGGGAGAGCTGGGGCAGTGATTGCCACGATGGCAGTGTCCAGAATGCCACAGGGAAGATGTCACCAGCTCAGCTGTACTTTGAGTGAGTTTTTAGTAGAATTTTCTATAAGTATTTTATCTTTAACCATCTCTATATACAATTAGAAGAGAAATCCTCCATGAACTGCCCAATATCGACAATGGCTTAGGTCTGCCCAACTGGCAGTTGGTTGCCTGCTTGGCTGTGGCCTGGCTTATAATCGGTGGAGTCCTGATTCGTGGCATCAAGAGCAGTGGCAAGGCAGCCTACTTCCTGGGCGTGTTTCCATATGTGGTGCTTGTGATCCTCCTCCTGAGAGCTGTGACCCTGCCTGGAGCTATGGATGGCATTATATACTTCTTTAAGCCACAGTGGCGGGAGCTATTGAACCCATTGGTCTGGTATGCGGCCGTGACTCAGGTCTTTTTCTCCTTAGCCATCTGCTTTGGCACTTTGATCACCTATGCCAGCTACAATAACTTCAATAGGAATGTGTACAAGTAAGTTTCATATAGTTTTCATGGTACAATATAGAAAGAAACTCCCTTTAAAATTTATAAATAACACAAAGATGGGAATATCACTTTCCCCTTGAGAAATCATTTTCCGTATGCTAAAAAAAACTCCCCTCCCCTTTTATATCCTCCAGCGACATTGTGATAATCACCACCATGGACTCCTGCTCGTCCATCATTGCCGGTTGCATCACATTCGGAATTCTGGGTAATCTGGCCCGCGAGACCGGAGTCTCGGATATTGGCAGCGTGGTGAAGGGCGGCGCCGGGTTGGCCTTCATCTCGTATCCGGAGGCCATTGCCAAGTTCGAGTATGTGCCACAGGTAAGGTATCGCGAACGGCTAGCGCCTTGGCGCCCTAAAGCAAAACTACCTAAAGATGTTCGCTGTCCTTTTCTTCCTCATGCTCTTTGTCCTAGGCATCGGCAGCACCGTGGGCATGGGGTCCTGCATCCTGCGGGCTATCCGGGATCACTTGGGGTCGTCGCGTTCGCCGCCCATCTGGATGCTGGCCAGCGGGCTGGCTGTCCTGGGCTTTGGCGTGAGCATTGTCTACATGACCCCGGGCGGTCAGTTTATCCTGAATCTGGTGGACTTTTATGGCGTGTCCTTTACAGCCTTAATACTGGCCATTGGCGAGCTTATAGCAGTTGCTTGGATATATGGTGAGAAGGAGGGGAGAGTTTTTTAGATTTCATTTGATGATTTGTGTGTGGAATTTCTTAGGAGTTAATCGCTTTTGCTCCGACATCAAGTTCATGATGGGCATCGAGACGGGCTGGTATTGGCGGATCTGCTGGCGCTTCATTACTCCGGGCCTGATGACCGCCGTGCTCATCTACATGCTGCAGGACATGTCCGCTCTGACGTACAAGGGCGTGGCCTATCCCACCTTGGCTCACGGTAAGGCAACAAAGTTGCTTAGTTGTCCTTGGCATTTATTAAAACTGCTGCTATATATTTCCCCTTTTTTCGGACAGTTTTTGGCTGCTTTCTGGCCGCCTTTGGGCTAATACAACTACCCGGCTGGGCTTTGTACGCCGTCTATAAACAGCGTGGCCAACAAGGAACCTTCTGGCAGGTGAGTCTCCCTGCTATTTTTACTCCTTTTATCCTGTAAATGCTTCCCCATTTTGCCAGAGAGTACGTGCCGCCAGCAAGCCATCGGACACTTGGGGACCGGCCAACGTTCAGCTGGAAGTCAGCATCTAGAAAATTAGCTAATCCCCGGCTAACCCTGCGTATACGTAATGGCCCCAAAGTAGTAGAAGAGTAGAAGTTGTTGTCTGGGGCATTATTATTTGATATGGGCAGCAGTATAGGAGTAGCAGCATATAATGTGGAAATATATATTAAAACTCGAAAAAGCTACGAACTGCCTGAAGGAGTTCTTTTTTTTGGGGGCAAGGAACGGAAAGGAAGCCGCTGCAGGCGCTTTTAATTACCCCAGGATCCCAGAGATCCCACAGATGGGCGTGGCAGTGTTGCACTCCTTAGTCGGGTAAGTGTGTGTGTTTTGTTGTTTGCCAGGATGTGTGTGTTTGTATCTGCTTGGCATGTCAGACATGTCAGCAATGCGGAAATGCGCAAATACTAAATGAAAACAAGAAGGCGGAGCTCAACTATAAGAGTTTGAATACTCTAAGCAAGTTGCTAAGATAACCAGAACCTTCTTTGGAATTAATTAATATGATTAGAATAATTATCAAACAAGGGGAAGAAGTTAGTTTTTCAGCCCATTTAGAGTTTAGAAATAAGTAAATGGGAGAAATGCAAAGGTTTTGCTTATAAAACCCAACATTTTAGGATTAGAAACTTGCTTCTTCTTTGTTTATTATTAAAGTTATGAATTTATTTTCTGAATAAGGATCTCCAAAGGTCACCAAAAATTTCAATATACCCCTTCAAAAGGGACCAAGTGCAGCTCAGGCAGCGAAAAATGGAGACTAGAGCGCAGCAGGTCCTTGTAAATAAAACATTTGGTTAGCTTGCTGTTCGACACATTCATTTCGGAAGGACGAGAAGGACGACAACGAGTCACAAATCATAATGTCTGTGGCATGTGACAAAGTTGAAAAGTAAATATGAAAAAAAATACAACAAAATATACATTTGTATATAAAATATATGGGGAAAAAGGGGAAACAAGCGGCATCCTCGTCACTTTTCGCTTTTCGCTTGTCTGTTGCAATGCTTTACCCATATGACAGCGCATTTATTTACTATACTTTGTATTTTATCTTTTTTTTCAACGTCGTGTGTGTGTGTGTGTGTGTGTTGTGTCACACACAAAAAAAAGTGACAGTGTTAAATTTTTTGGGTTCATCCCCTGCAGCAGCTGAAATTGAAGTGTGTGTTGACTTTGACTGACGTGTCGTTAGTGCTGAAGAGCTGGGAGATTCCCGCTTGAAACAAACTTGCGTGTGCCACGCCCACTTGTACCCAGCCGCCCATCCACATACACCCACACACACACCCGCACACCCACACACACACACGTATGCCGCACGGCAAACAACTTTCTTTCATTCCATTCGTGCCTCCTCCATCGTTGTTCATTGCTTTAACGATGCGCGTAAATCTTGACATACTTTTCGGCGAAATAGGAAGGAAAATACCAGTGGTAAAGAGGGGGCGGAGGAGGAGAAACCGGAAGTGGGCCACTCACTCTCACACACGCCCATTATTAGTAATGACCAAATCTAGCCCGATCTACTCCTTTTCAACGCATATTACTGAAACGGATGCCACACTTCTTCAGCAAACACAAAAGCAAACATTTACCAGAGTAACCCTTAATGTTTTTTTGTCCAGAAACTCATTTTTTAAAAACTCATATCTTAGCCAAAAATTATTTAATTTTAGTTCGGAAAGCGGTCCCATGCTAGTTTTCGTTAGGTTAACAAATCTGCATACTTCATTTAAAATGTAAAAAAAATTATATTTTTTTGCCAACTTTTGACAGTTTTAACGATGAAAAAAAAAGTCAAAAATCTAAAATTTTTGTTTTCTTTCAAACATAACTTAATCGATTCGGATTTTGATACTGATCAAGAATATATATGATTTATGGGGTCGGCAATGACTCACGAATTATCACCAGGAATGCGTAAGTTATGTCCCATATATGTATGTAGGATCTATAGATTAATATTTTTATATGATAATTTTTTTGTGAAAAACGCAGTTTTTCAAATATCATAGCTTAGCCAAAAATGCATCAATTTCAATTCGGAAACCTGCCCTATATTTATTTTTACCGGGTTAATAAATCTGCATACTACATTTTCAATTTTTAAAAATTCAAAATTTTAGCAATTTTTCAATATTTTAAAGATGTAAAAAAATGGTTCAAAAAATTAAAAAAAAAAATTTTCTCCTAAGATGCCTAGATCGATATGGCGTTTGATGCTGATCAAGAATATATATGATTTATGGGGTCGGAAATGACTCCTTCACAATGTTTTAATGCTTTAATGATTGTTATTAGGGATCCATGAGGTAGTTTATATAATAGTTGTTTCATAACATTTATTTATTTATTAATTTAGTATTATTTTACTGAAGAAACCACTAATAAAGCAAATAGTTGGGAAATATGTGCTATTTAAAATTTTAAACCACAAACACACAAAAATAAAGCTAATAAAAGAAGACTCAAGGTACCCCTAGCTAACCACTACTAACGTCATATTATGAGCCAAGTTCCCACTCAGTTGACTGACTCCAGCCGGACTTTGCAAATCTCCCTCGAGTGGTGGAGTGGCTAGCTGCAAATCCTCATCAGCCACGACAGCATTCTCATTACGACGACCATCATTATTATGATGATCATCAGCTGGAGTTGCTCTACTCTCCTCCACCTGAAAGCTATTTTCCGAATCCGGCACACACAGATACTTCTGCACACTTGAGTGACGGAAGCATCAGCATCCAGCATCCAGCATCCTCCATGCTCCCCATTCCTGATTATAAATATGAACTGGAAACTCACACACACATCTCTATAGATACATACATGTATGGCTGGAAAATCCGCTTCAGTGTGCTCTGGTTCTGGCTCTTGCATGTCTGCCTGTCAGCGCCAACTAAGCGAATTTATAACAGCAATAGTTTTTTGCATTTTTCTTGCCTTTCAGCCACGGCAACAACTTGATTCGATGACTTAAAACATTTATCGTGTTTGGCCGTAGTATCTGTCGCAGTATTATGTCCCGGTCCAACATGTCGTATACTTAATGTGAGCCACAAGTTGTGCACATTCCCAGGCCACTCCAAGGCACTCTCGATATCAGCTCTATACTTATATATATACGATCTATATATGTAGAACCCACCCACCCCTTTGAGGCCCCGTCACTTAAGTGAAATTTAATTGTGTTCAACATGGGTTCAAGTTCGGCAAAGAGAGACAAAAAAAGGGACTGAAAATGGTTGGTTAGGTTTTTCTTTTTGTTTCATTGATTTCATTTCATTTCAATTGGGGTTTGATGTCTTTTCCTCTATCCCACTAACCCCTTATGGGGCAATTACCTAATGAATCGAATCGATATTTCCATTCCCTTCCCTTTCCCTATGTCTAGACAGCATAAATTTATTTATTTATGGCAGTGGCAGTGGCAGCGGCAGCGGAAATTACTGATTCATCTTGAGGCATTGTCTTTGGTAATTTATGTCATTTACGAGCATTTGCCGCTTATCAAAGTCACGATAAATTAAAACTGAAATGATCTGGCGCCGCCCACTTGTGTGTTTCAGGAGGAGAGCCAATTACGCTTATTACATAATTCAGCAGCTGCCCACGCATCCAACAGATGAGGGAAAGATGTATAAAGAAAAGCCGGGCGGAAAATGATGATAACGAAGACAGATAAACCTGGCTGCCGGGATAAACACTGTACAAGGAGCAACAGCCATAGCCACAAGGGCGTCAGCAGAAAAGAAAACCCACAGAATGAGGGGCCAAGGTAAGGGAAAGTCGCTGGGGAAAGTCAAGTCAAACAATTAAGAAAACCACAAGGAGCGTGGACTAAAAGCCCTAAGAGTATCGCCACTCCCAAGTCCATTTCCTCGATGGTCCGCGTCCACTTAAATGCCCACGAAAAATGTTTGTTGCCAAAATTCGAGTTTCATTAGGAGTTCCATTCAGCTGACAACATAATGCGAATGTCGAAACAATATTTTCCATGTCCCTGCTAATGTGTGTGTGTGTGTGACGGAAAATTCTGGCCAAAAACGAAAAGTGAAAGCAGCGAGACAGTGAAATCCTATTAAAAAGTTTCTATCGCAAATTAAAATCTAAATACGCAAACAAAATGATGGTGACGTCTACGCCACGGGGAGCCCAGACAGGAAAAGGAACAGGAACAGGAACAGGAACAAAATAAAATAACCCGACAAAAAAAAAAGCACACTCAACACGTGGAAAAAAAGGCAGAGAAGTCTTTGAATACATTTCCTAAAAAATAGAACAACCGTTGTTTTTTCTATGCAATGTTTATTAATAAACATTTGCCAAATAAACAAAAGGGAAACCGAGCAGCTGGAATAATAAAATGTTTCAGTTTTTTACAATTTTTCTACACAAATTTAAATGATGTTTATTTAAATTGAAAATAAAGGTAAGGTGATTTTTTATTAAAGAAAATACGAAAATGTTACTATCAAAATTATGAAGATTAAAATAAAGGAAGTCTGTATGCATAAATAATCTAAAATATATAGGTTTGGGGCACTTTTCTTTAAAGTATTTTATATAGAATTTAAGAAATTATTAAAACAGCAAGTTAAACATTTAAAATATCCCATGATTTCCATTTGATGATTGAATATTTTCTTATATTTTCCCCCTACGATTTTCTCACCGTGTTCCTGGCCAAGATGCGCCAAAGGAATAAACATTAACGGGGACAAAAGGTAACTAGTGGCCAACAGACAAACCCCCCCTTTCCTGGCCACGCCCCGTATTTCCCTTTTATTTGTGCTGTCTGCTTACAGTTTGAATTATAAGCTAGCGAAAATTTAATAAAGCTTTCCCCTGCCAACCTCCAAAGAAAAGGGAACGAGAAACCCAAAGACCAAAAGACCGAAAGACGAGGGCGACTTTCGGGGCCAGGACACGCTTGGCAAGGACATGAAACTCCGCCGCAGCAAAAAAAACAAAGACTATGACAATGTCAAAGAGTTTCGCTGCACGCAATGTGGGCGTGGCCGCAGTTGGGCGACTGGTGGGCGGGATCGGAGCACCTGAGACAGCAACAACATCAATAGCAAAAACAACAGCAACATCAACGAGGAGGATTGACGGCAAAGTTTTTCGTCCTGGCAAATGGCAAAAGTTTTCTGTGCTCTCTCCTCTGTCTTGGTATCCATTCC